AACTGCGTACTTCCTTGCACAAACATGAGGCGTTACTTACAAGCATACCAGAAACCGGCAAAATCCCAAGACATCAGCTCGACGGTGAAGGTGCTGATAATCCTCGCACAGTTTTCGGCAGCACATATAATCAGCTCTATCTCGTTTCGCAGGCTCTCGCCCAGTTCCGGTCCAGTCATGTTGGCATCCGAGCTACTACAAAGATCATCTGTCTGTGAAACTGCATTCGAGACAACTTCCAGGTCGATTTTGCCCAGTGGCCGAAGCAAAGCTCGGTAAAGTAGAATTTCGAGAGTCAGATACGCGAATTTGAGGCAGGCTGCCGAGCTTGGTGCGGCGGGAGCCACCCTCTCGGGATCTATCTTTGGTGTCTTTAAATAGATAGGAAGACTGGCATACCAAAGCTTGAGCTCTTCACGAAGAGGTTTGATAGCCCTGATGGAGCCAGCAAGGTCATCGGCGAGCTTCTCAGTAGCCCGTATCGTGCTGTGCGATTTCTCTCAGCGCATGTAAGCAACAAACAACGGGCATCAGAGGACTTACTAAAGACAACGGTATATATTGTCGGCAATAATGGTCAAAGTTGCGAGTCGCTGTGATATCATACCCTCATCGGACTCATGTGTTGCAAGTCGCAGCTTTTCCGCGAAATCGTTTGCTTTCGTATCATCGCCAAGCCCAAGAAGCCTCTCCTCAACCTCAAAATCCAGTGAAGTGAGCTCCGACACATTCCACTGATCTGGTGCGATTATAGCAGGCCTTCCCAACAAGAGACTTCTCCACGTCGCCTCAGAGAATGTCATCCACCACAAGCGGCGTCGAAGCCGCTTTTCCCACGGCGGTATTGACCATGAACTGCAGTCCAGGTGCAGCGCTAGGCTCGTGGCTAAGCCAACGACAGAGGCGATCATAGACCAGGCGAAGGACGTGTCCGCGGATACATGCTGCACTCCTACTCGGGGTTTATGAAGATACAGTAATGCGCTTGAGATGGTAGATAGTTTCGGGGTATGTAGCGTAGTCTGAATCCCGTCATAGACAATTTGCCATAGTCTTTGGGCGGAAGGTTTCTTGTAGACACTGGAGACGCATAGTATGTCATCGTATGCAGTGAAAGGGAGCGCAGAAGCGTATATAGCGGCCAGCAGATAAGTTGGCAGTGGAGCATGTCCCGGGGACGCAGACTTGAAATGTCCATCAAAGGCAGTCACTATTTGTGACCGAGAAATAACTGGAAATGCTGGGTAAACATATTGTACGAACCTGGACAGTTAGGGTCATGATGCTTGGTGGAAACGGGGCAGGCTTACAATAGAACAAGTCTCCGTCCGACATCTTCACTCACCAAGTCGTTCAGTTCCTTTCTCACTGACTCATAATTATATAAATGATTGGTAGGACCGAGGCGTCTAAGCTCATCACTCAACTCATTTGAAGTTAGAAGGAATTGGACCGGAACATTGTTTTCATCTGATCTGGGATGTCCTGTGACCGAAGAATGGTCGCGATGGAAGGGGGTCCCGCTCTGCGTCCTTCGATATATCACTCGAAGAAACGGAAATTCGTCTGCGTCGTTATACAAGTAATGCCGGAGAAGATAAGGGTCCGACTCTCCCGAGAGACCAAAGTACGCGCTCTGGAACTCAGGTCTTTGGTCGATGGTAAAAGCAGCATCGTTCAGATTAGACGACTGTGCACAGCCATCGTGTGGTTCTGTCGAGAATCTAATCCCGATCTCGTGCGCGGAATTCGCGCCATTTGACGAGGCTTCAAATGTTGGCAGTGGAGCTGCTCGCTCGGGTGTCTCGAAATCATGCTGATGAAGGACTTGAGAATTCGCAAGCGGGATTCCATCAAACTGCATCGGACCAGCGCCAATAGCAGTGCTCGCGAATTGTGTTTCATCTGGCGGAGGGCTGCCCCAGATCCTTTCATCGGTGAAGCCCCCATACATCGCGTCCTCGTCCGCGGGGTGCTGGCTGTAATGGTCATTCGTATGGTCTCCAAGGGAGCCCTGAACAATGTCGCTGGCTAGATCTCCTGGCAGGATTGTTGAAGTGTCGAAGCCGACTCCAGCTTGTCCGAGGTCATCCAACCCGTCGCAATCATTGGGACTACCCCCGGACAGAGAGGCGGTTGCCGACTCATGAGTGAGAGCCGACTCGTGAATGGGATCATCGAGAAAGCTGCAGCGTTCGCCTCGTTTGCGGCACGTTATGCAAGATGTATCTTTTCCCGCGCGGCGGCATGAAGTCTTACGCGCACGGCAAAGCATGCACGGCCGATTCCTCTTTGAACGATATGGCCGGCGTTGCAGGGCGTTGGGTGTAGTCCGCATGAGTGCGAAAGTTGGGTCCATGATGCATGCTTGAACGGGAGACGGTACATACGTCTTTATGCATTCGAGGAGCCACCTCGGTCATTGCCACATTGAATGCTTTGGGCTATTTCAACTGCCGCTTTCTCAATGCATCAGATCGAAGGTTGTACTTTGTCAGTTGTCGGACCAAGGTGGGAAGCAAGACATGGAACGATCACCCTCCCCACGGGGCACTCTTGAGACTCCACAGATAGGCGAATTCTTTTTCCGTAGCAGGCGTCTATCGGCCCATCCGTCATTCCAGTATGTAACTATGCCTTCTAAAGTAGGCCAGTAGAGGCGCGCCCTTACCACTTGTGGATAAACTCATCCCGCCCAAAATATTTTGTAAACCCTTTCTTTTACCACAATAAACTCGGATCCTAGAAATATAGATCACATACATATACTCAAGGCTGACACTGGTCGTATTCCGCCTATGAAGCGTCCTTTGAGGGAAGACAAACTCGAGCTGCCAATTCTAGACGCGGAAGTCGTGTAGTAATCAGTCGATTTGATGGAGCTGTTCGTGCAGCTCTTTGTCTCTAATAGCCTTGAGTGACTAGGTATCTCGGTAGGTACTTTGGGGGATGCCCCGCGAGGTGCACTTCTGGCTTGTTGAGCCTGTAGGGCAGCATACCAGGACACCCTTGGTGTCGTCCCCGCTTCCCCTAAAGAGTCGGTAAGAAATATGATCAGCCAATTTTCAACTTTTTTCAGCGACCAATATGCTGAAAGGGGTTAGATGCGAGCGAATTACGCATCCGCTCCTGTCATAGGCCACCATCTCCTCCCTATCAGGGCACCTCATGTCAACCAGCTCGGCACAGCCGTCCTCCTTGCGAACCTTACAGTCCTGACCGTTTTCGAGTTTGGTTGTCTCGGCCACATTGCTACTGGTCATCTGGAGCGCTTCAATCTTGGAAGTGTCGGGGTGGGCAACCTGGTTGAAAGTGGCCAAGGGTGCTGGGATATCCAGCAGTTGTATAGCGTGCCCGATTTCGCCACTTTGCTATCATGGAAACCAGCCTTAGGTTCAAGCTGCGAGAGCTTGTGGCCAGACTATGCTGTGGGCGTCGGTGTCTAAAAGAGTCCTGAATCTATATCCACTGTCTTGGGAGCTTAGTTAGTGGTACCACTAGTTCTGCAGGGAGATATTTCTCGAACCTCCTTGGCTCAATATGTGCGAGACCAACTTATCAATGACTCTTTTCCAGTTCATTGCAAAAGAGACTGATCTTGCCTTACTAACACCGGCACCTTTACTGATGAGACGACATTCAAGTGAAGCTTTTGCTATTTGTTCCGTGGGAGATTGGCATCTCAACAATCCATGACGCTGGCAGGCTAACTTGGGAGCAAGTGAATTTTAAACGGCCGACAGGTAAATGAACGTACTGCAGCTTGATTCTAACCTCCAAGTCTTGTGTTTAGCGCTGGTGGCTTGTCTTTGATGTTGCGATCAAACCAATTAACCAGCTCGGAGTCCCTGGCGCAGACGAGAATCTGTGCTCGATTTGAGGGGGCATTTCCCCACGTTTTCTCAACTCCAACACATGTGGGTATTGCAATTTCAACACTTGGCTGATTGGCTAAGATTACCACCATGTGGAGACGAGCTGTCTTTAGGGCTGATTCCACCTGGGGACGTCGACCAGACTCTGCCGGGCTTTAACTCTTCTCCGCAACATCACCCGACCTTTCGGAATAGAGGTATCCCATCACTTGTGCAACTGGACTTGTGCAACTCTTCTGTCAGCAGCCGACTGCGGATCGGTAACAAGTACCGACATGGAAATTGTTTGGCAGGCCTCTGCGAGCCAGAACGCTAAACGCTCTTCCCAAGATAAGTCTATATAATTCCTCCTGTGTCCATGTCCTCTCGGCAAAATCACTCCCAACTAACCCAAGCCATTCACCCTGTCAAGGCTGCCGTGCACGAAAGAAACGGTGCTATCATGTCGGTGTCACCGAAAGACCATACGCCGCCAGACGCGGCGACAGGTCAATCACAGACCCGGTTGACCAGGCATCGAATACTCGAGACTCGAGTCCTAGTCCGAGCCGTGTCAGTCTGTACAACCCAGAATCCGTCTTGACAGATCTTTCTATGGATTCTACAGGGGCAAGACTTGCGGACAAGGCTGGCACTTGCCAAGTGCATTCACGTCGCAAAGAGAAAGACTTGAATACATCTGAAGAAGGTATTTCTCTAGAGGAAAGATCTCTTCGCCAGCGCAATTGGTACGATCGCCACCGTCTCAATTCCAGGCGGCCTGAAATTTCAGACAATCAACGAAGATATCTTGAGGAAGAGGGTGCTTACCTCGAATTGCCAAAGTCGACGACTGACATCCTTCTGCCAATTTACAACATGCTCTTAGATGACCTCATTCCAGTACTAGATGGGGCTGCAATATTTCGGGACTACAGTAACGGGCAGGCATCCATATTTCTCCTCAGAGCAGTCTCTCTCATTGCCTGTAAATTCTGACAGGCAGCCCCATTTCTGAGAATTTGTGAGGATGGCGCTATCCTGGATCAGAGACATTTTGCTTCTATATTACTCAAAGGTCTTGATGTCTCTATCAAGGCAGATCTCGAGCCCGACCGGATCACCAAAGTTCAAATTTTAGCCTTGATGCACCTACACAACGACGGCTTGAGTGGACTAGACCGCTCCTCAGGGTATCTTTCCCAGGCTATATCCGAAGCGTGGGCAATCTCACTGCACGTAAAGGTTCCCGTTAATTCCGACCAGGAGCGTTGCGATTTTTTGTGGTGGACACTACGAAATTTTGATCGGCTGAACAAGCCCGTCATGGGCGCTGCTCCGTTCATGATTGATGATACAGACATTGGAGTTGAACGCATTGCTCCCCGAAAGGATCACTACCGGTCCCAGCTAATGGCCATATCTCTCTCTCTCGGAGATTTGATGAAAACGGCAACTAGGATTTACAAAGCTAGCTCAACAGCAACGGACGACGACTTTGATGCATTTCCGACATTCTCTGAGCTGACCACTAATGTTTGCATGGATGGGTTCCAGAGATCCCACAGATGTAAGTAACTCTGGAGCTTGAAGTAAAGCGTTGTGACTTTCTCTGATTCTAGTCTCTTAGTGTACTTACAAATTTGGTACCACGTCGCCGCGATGCTCTCCTGTCGCTATAGCGGGCCGAAGAGCGTCCAGTATCAGCGACGACTATCTTCTGCTGATAGTGTACTGCGCATCGTCTGTCTGGAAGAGCCTGCCAATCTCCCGCCTCTTCCTCTTGTACCTTATGCTATGTCAATGTCTACCACGGTGGTCTATCGCGCTCTTAGGGATGGCGAGCGAGCACCAGAAGAAGCGTACAAAGATCTTGGAGCATGTTACGATAACCTCGTCATCCTCAGTCGACTTTGGACCAGTGCAAAGGGAGTTGCTAGGTTAGTGAGGCGTCTGCAACAATTTACCAGGCCCAGTGCACCTCCCATTCGAACCACAGAGGGCGCCCCGTGCACTTGCGACGACACACATCAACACGCAAACGTCACTAGGAACCCAATCAGCAACTTGAATAACCTTCAACGACATGGACCAACCCAAGATGTGACTGGAAGCTCAGTGTCACCTGTTTCGAGCTTGGTGCAGCCCAGTGAGGCCTTTCTGCCACCAGATGAATCCACAGATGATGATGGTCAATCGGGTCACCGGGCTGCCACTTGGTTCGTTGATGGGCTATCTTATTCTCATTTTGACAGGGCCTTTTATGATTTCTTCGATTACGGCATGCCCAGCCTTTTTCGCGATTTGGCAACCTGGGATTTTCTCCAATCAGACGCGAATGATGATCTAGAAGTTTCATCATTAAACCATTAGATACTCACGAACCTAACCACTTCTTACGAAGAAACCCCTTCTTATCTTGATGCTTTCGTAGCCTGATGCCTTTCAAAACAATCCTTGAATCTCCGGCTACCATGTTGTCAAGTTCTAAAGCTGGCTATTGATTGTTGGACTAAGGACAACTCCTATAAGAACTGCGTCCCGAGCAGCAGAGCATCGTATACCAATGCCTGAAAACCCTGAGTCTCAATCACAGCACCAAAACTGATTTGATTGTCAGCAGGAACATCGCCCGTTCGTCCATAGCTTGGCTTACCCATGACATTTAATGCCCTCCATCAATCTGTCAGCAAGCGCCCATAATCTTCGCAGCTCGATGCCGCCAAAGTGAGGTTGGCTCCGTATGTACTCCCACGCTTGGGCTGGCGTCATCTCCCCGTCGAAGCAAACGTGCGGAGAGAGAGCTAGGATCCGTTCCAAGATATCTCGGGGTGCGTCTTGGTACGACGGAATACCAACATGACCTTTCTCGTTCGATCCGGATTGGTCTGCATATAAAGAGATAGTTCTCGCCGACACTGTCAAAACGTGACCCGTTGAGTCATCAGGCTTCTTGAGGTCACCATGAATATGTTCAAGGCAAGGACTTTCAAGCCTTAAATGGAGTCAGCGAATATGCAACTTACTAAGACGAGATTGTCGACTTAAGATCGACGCATTGTGGCATGGCTGTGCTCTCACCTCAGAACAAACTCCATACCTGCTGCGATCAAGTCAACCTCGCACATTCGGCTGTCGTCAAAATCATACATATTAACCGCTCTGTTAGTCTTCAACCACGGAAGCTCTGTTCCTTGCTTTTCGGTGTATTGGTGACTCGACAGAGCGTCTGTTGCCGTTTGGAGGTCATTGGCAACAATATCAGCCGTCGTGTTGAGTTCCGCCTGGAGTGGGTTTTTGTCAACCGTTCGACCGTCTTCTGATTCTTTTTCCGAAGTTTTCAAAAGTTCGGTGGCTCTCAATCCGGCCAAGAATTCGCCCGTTCTAGAATGAGATAAGTTGTGAATTCCACCGTCATTTTTGCTGGTTAAGCTGTCCCCGAAAGCGGCAGGAATACCGATACCATGGCGAGAAAGCATCCCTGTTAACGACTCGAGAGCAGCGTACATCTGCTCGCATCGGATCATAAGTTCAGCTTCTCTGTTTCGGGCTCTTTCGACCTCTTGTTCGAGCGACTTGGTGTACTTGTCCTTGCGGTCACGGTACGACCTAAATACAGAATTACAAAATCGCCTCAGCGCTGATACAGATGCATTCTCATACCGTTGTGCACTTCGAAGTTGTGCTCGCCGCTTCTCCACGGGGTCTTTCTTGGCCTCTGCGACGCACTTAGCTTTCGGACAACGATGTAGTCACACACAGAAAGCTGCACGACACGCGTGCGCATTTCTGTGCTGGCTCAATTCCATGGACGAACCTCCAGGATTGAAGATACGGAATATCTTGCTGCTCATCCTGATGCAAATGGACAACACGGAGCCTGGGATTGTTTCAAAAGATCGACGGATAGGTGAAGCTGTGTCGTAAGTCAACATACCCACTTCCTGGCACCCCCCTGTTTCTGGCACCCACAAAAACGCGAAAATCCACCACAACCCAATGCCCACCCCCAACCTCCTTTTATCACAACATTTTCAATTCGCGTCCAAATGGGCTCATCTTTTGCACATGTCTTCTTCTATATATAATGCCTCAATATACCGAAGATCAGCTTCGTCAGGCTCTCGAGGA